GAGCCGTGTCGGTGACACTGGCCCGAGACACACGTGGTGTGTCCCACGTAGACCTCAGGAGGACCCCGGATTGAAAACCGGTGCGATCCCGTTGTGCTCCGTTGTGCTCCGCGTAGCCTTCTAAACCCGTTAGAACCCCTGTGGAAACAAGTCAGGGGACACATGAAACCAAATAAAGCTGTGTTCACATTCACGAAGGTACGATATTTGCCAAATAAGTGTTAGTGTATCACTGTGTGAAAGGGCTGTGTATGGTTTGGTGAAAATACAAGGTATCAAAATTACGGAATAACAGAAATGCTGTGCGTTCAAGGCAGGATATTAGGTAAAATTCTGCTTCGTATTATCCTTCGGTTTCTGATGGAAATGTATCGAGCGGTACCTGGTGATTTAGAAAATAATACACATACATGCTTTGTTTATGACTTCTGAGTATGAAAATATTGGTTTAGCGTTTATGGTAACACCTTGTCTGAAACGGAGAATAAGATACTACCCACCTGTGCCAGACTGCAGGAAACCCTTGTAAGATGATGAATAACAGAGGGAGAGGAAGTGGGATGAAATGGCCTTTTCAATGCTGGGCGAGATGCCATTTGCAGCAGTCTCTCGCGAAGTGTATTATTGTCATGTGGATTGCATGCAATTTTTTTCAAATTGCTTCTCTTTGCAAAAAATAGAGAAGAAATACCTCCTGTTAATAATGGGAAACAACATTCTTTTCTGTTTTAGAGTACTTGAAAAATAGCTTTCAAATACAAGTTGCAAGCAGCATTTCAATATGTAGTTCTGTGAACTCCATAAAATTGAAATCTACCCGCGGTTCTTCAGTACCTGGTATCTGTATTCACCAGGAGAATTGTGAACCTTCCCTAATACCTCTTGCTGTACAATTTTAAAAGTGCATGTATCATGGTCATTATCAGAGAAGTCAGAGTAACAACTAATGGGAAGAGGTCTCCCTAGCGTGAGGCTACTCTTTAACAGTCAACGCTGTTCTTATTTCCAAATGGGTCCCTGAGATAAGTGACAGGTATGTTCAGTGCACACACACACACACTTGTACAATTCTGTGGCATTGTCTTAACACGTATTTCTCCCCTCAATTTGTAATGTTTTATTCTGAAAAATGACAAGCATATACAAAAGTAGGCAGAATAAGATAATAAACTGCCAAATACCAATCACCCAGTGTTAGCAATTATCTTGGCTGACATTCCTAAGTCCTGACGTCAGTTTTGTCTGACACCACAAACCCACTCCAATTTTCTTATGAACGGTGTTTGCTTGGTGTATATTCTTTCCATCCTTTTAACTTACCTGAGTCTTCATATTTAAAATGCTGCTTCTTTTTTTTGTAGACAGCACCTTTGAGTCTTTCCCTTCAAAATTCTATCTGATAACCTCTGCTTTTTAAATGGAATGTTCGGGCATTTATGGATGGTTCATGGAATCAACAATATGGTTACCTTTATATCTACCATTTTGCTGTTTGTGGTATATGTCACATCTGTGCTCTGTCCTTTTTTCTTCTTTTTAGATTAATCAAATATTTTTAGTATGCCATTTAATCTCTATGATTAGCTTACTGACAATAGCTGTTTCATTTTTCAGTGCTGTTTCCAGGATTTTCAGTATTCATCTTTAACCTAACACTTTCACATTCAAGTAATATTATGCCACTTCACATCTGTAAAGAACCTTATATAACAGTATATGTCTAACGCCAGCCTGTCATTTCTCACATGCCTTTTCCTTTTATGTATTATAAACGTCACAACACATTGTTATTCTATTTGCACTAAGAAGTCAATTATCTTTTGAGGACATTTTTAAAAGAGAAAAGATTATTTTATATTTATCCATATATTTAGCATTTCTGATTTCCATCTGGTTTTAGTATTTCCTTTAGCCTGAAACTACTTTCATATTTCTTGTTGGGCAGGTCTCCTGGCGACACCTATTTGCAACTTCTGTTTAAAAATGTTTTCTTTCATGTTACTTTATTAAAGGATATTTTCATTGACTATAATATGTTAGGTTGACTTTTTATTTCTTTCAGTACCATAAAATCCTTTTTTCAAAAACTAATGTTTCCCTGTAGCAAGGTACTTTTATTCTCTGCCTGCTTTTGAGATTTTTCTCTTTATCACTTGTTTTTAGCGATTTCATTAAGATGTACTTTGGTGCAGTTTTCTGTGGATTTCTCTTGGGATTTGTTGAGCTTCTTAGATCTGTGAGTTTATAGTTTTCATCTAATTTGGAAATATTTCAGACATTCTTTTTTCAAGTGTGTTTTTTACCTTCCCGCCTTCTTTTTTTCTGGAACTCCAATTACAAATATGAAAGTCTGCTTATATTTGTCCATGGGTCACTGAGGCCCTGTTGTTGTTTTCTGTTTTGTTTTTAACGTCTTTTTTCCCTCTCTATGCTTCCATTTTGATAATTTCTAGTGTTGAGTCTTCAAGTTCATCTTTTCTTCTATAGTTTCTAATCTACTGTCAAGTCTGTTCAAGGATTTTTTTTTTTTTTTTTAATTTCAGAGATTACCTTTCCAATGCAGAAGTCCCGGCTGGATCCTTTTTGTATCTGCCATCTCTCTCCTCCTTACATTCATGTTTTCCTGTCAACGGTTGGGTATATTGAAAGCAGGTGTTTGAAAGTCCTTGCCGGGCTCGGTGGCTCAGCCTGTAATCCCGCCCCTTTGGGAGGCTGAGGAGAGTGGATTGCCTGAGCCCACAGGTTCGAGACCCGCCTGGGCAACTTGGCGAGACCCCGTCTCTATAATAAATCAAAAAAAATTAGCCGGGCGTGGTAGTGCGCGCCTGTAGTTCCAGCTACTTGGAAGGCTGAGGCGGAAGGATCGCCGGCGCCCAGCAGGTTGAGGCTGCGGTGGCCGGGAGCAGGCACTGCACTCCCGTCTGGGCGACAGAGTGAGTCTCCAACTCAAAAAACAAAAACAACAAAAAAAGAAAGTCCTTACCTGTGCATTCCTGTCATTTCTTGGTCTTTTTCTATTGATTCATTTGTCCTATACCTTTTCCGGCTTCTTCACATGATTGGTCGTTATTTTTTGTGTGCTAAGCATTATAATGACTTTTAGACTTCCAATGTCTGGATTTTAAGTCTTAAAATCGTATTTTGAAGGGAGTTAGTTGACTTACAGATTAGCTTGGTCCTTTTGACTCTTCCTTGAAAGCTGTGTTAGGGCGGCTCTAGGGAACCTTGGCTCTAGAAAGCCTGTTTAGCCCATTCAAGGATTCTCCTTCTGGAGGCTCTGCCAGGTGCCTGGGTGTCCAGCATGCCGCCTTCACTTGGGTTGATTGGAACTCACGTCCCTAGTTCTGTGGGAGCCCGGGGGAGTTTCAGCTTACTGCCTCCCAGCAGTTCTTCAGCGGGCCTTGCGAAGCTTCTCCCCTGAATCTTCAGCCTAGCCTTCAGGAACAGAGGCAAGGAGACATTCATGCAGACTTCCTAAGCCCCTTCCTCCCTCCCTCCCTCCTTCCCTGCCTTCCTTTGCGTTCTTTCCTTCTTTCCTTAGCTCTCTCCTCCAAGTCCTTTGCTCCACAAATTCCCACCACCTGGGCCTCCTGGCTCCTGGTCTCCTTTGAGACCGCCTTACCCTTCCTGGAGACCCCCTCCCCCCTCCCCCAGAGTCAGGAAGGTGCCTTCAGGAGAAAGCCAGGACGACCCCTGGACCCAGTTCACTCGTTCCCTTTCTTTGAGGCCTTGCGCGGCCCTCCTGTCCGAGGTCTTGAAACCCTCGCTTCTCACGTGTCCGATGTTCCAGTGCTCGCCGCCCAGCTCCTCTACGGCAGCTCACAGAGGAAGTCTCTGGGGTAGATGATCCAGGGAATTATTTCTCCACGGCCTGCTTTCGCCCCTCGCACCCCTCCTCCGTGTCTCATGGCGACTGCCAGCGCTGGGCTGACGGTGGGCGGGATGGGTGCCCGCTGCCACGCGCGGCTGCAGCAGGCGTGTCCCGGGGGGGCTGCCCCGCCCCCACCTGGCGCCCCGTGCAGCGTGGGCCTGAGGAGCTCGCCCTCTGCCTTCCAATCCACGGTTCAGTTTACAATTTCTCAGGGTACGTTTCTGTTTTTATTTCTCAGTTATCTGAATTCACACCCCATCCCAGCGTCAATTCCTGTGAAGCGAATGTATCAGACTGGCATTTATTTGGTTCCTCTTTTGGAAAGCCAAGCATACTGAATTCGAATTACAGATTGTTAGCACAGGTTTCAATTCATTATTATCTAAATGTGATATTCTTGCTACTTATTCATGTGGCTTAATTGGTTGAATAGCTGTTTGGCAAGAAATTTAAAGAGCGATTAATTCATCATTTTGACACCTATTATTTGGCTATTATCCAAATTAAGCCATTTTTATTACTTAATGTTCCTCTCTTAATTATTTTAATTGCCTGCAATAAGTGAACTGAACATTTCTACCTGTAAAAATTTTCCAAAGCAGTTTTAGAAAGCTGCAGAATATACTGTAAATGGCAAAAAGCCTTTAACACCCAGCCACAGCACTGACCTATTGTAAACACCTTATAAAAACACAAGAGACTTGTATTTTCTGTCAATAGAAGGAACATTCCAGTATACTTTTCTCCAGGAATGTGAATGGTGATGTTATTAAGAAAACCACTTTTTTTTTGCTTTTGCTTTCTTAGCTAACTCAGGTGGGACCATAATGTGAGTCACGGTATTTCATTTTATTTCACTTTAGAGGTGTAATGCCAGCCGTGACTGGAAAAACCTAAGTGTTCACAGTGTTCTTCCTCTTCAACCCTAAGCTAGTAAAGGCAGCACAGTGCAGTAAAAAGATCACGAGAATTAAGTGACCTGGAAGCCCAGTGGCCGATACGATGCTGGCTTTGGTTGAAACATAGTTCATTCATTGCTATGAATTCCACAAAAAAGAATTGTTTTTTTTTCTGCATATCCCTGACACTAGCCACAAGGAAATGAAATCACACCTGATAGAATCAGTAGTTCAGTTGCCAGAGATGAGAACTGGATTTTGGGGGCTAGAAAGACATCAGTGAATTCGATGGCCTAGTTCAGTGGTTCTTACCGTTAAGACCCAGTGTCACCACTTTGGTTGTTTTATTTGTGTTTGTTCCCCAGTTTTTAAAATTATGTTTAAAGTTACATCCCGTAAAATTCACTTTTTTATTGATGTGGCCATCTAGAAGCTTAGACAAGTACGAGCTGTCATTTTATCACCTCAACAATCACAATTCAGAACAGTTAAACACCATCCCCTAAATTCCTTCATGCTGCCCCTGCGTAATCAAATCCTCCCCCAAATCCCTAGTCCTAGTCCCTGATAGCCACTGATGACCTGCTCTATTGTGATTTTCCAGAATGTCACATAAATGGAAACAGAGTATACAGCCTTTATAGACTAACCCAAAGCTGCCTTTTTATAACAGACATTCTGTTATTACCCCTTTACAATCCTCAGAATCTATAAATAATATTACCTACCCTGACACATACACTTTCAAAACAATCAAAATAATGCTCTAACATAAATGAGAAGCAAAAATTAATTTATAATAAAATAGTATGTATTCAAAATGAAGATGGCTGAGCACAACTGAAGTAATCAGATGCATCTACTTTGATGAAAAAGTTTGGTTTTAAGGGAAGTAAGATCAGAAGCTCTTCTGTATTAAAAATACAGGAAAATGAAAAATAGCAGGAGTGTGATGTGATTTTTCTAAAATGTGAACAATTCCTGGTAAAAATCAGAACAAAATCAATCTTACTTTCTTACTCTTCACAGAATCTTACTATTTTCAGTAGTTCATTGCTAGAATATTCAGCGACTATTTAAAATGGTGTTTTTAAAATGCAAAATGAAGCTAGGTTTCTAGCTTAGATAAGTGTAGACAGATTTTTCTTCTACAGGAATCTCCAGTAGGGTTATCAAAAGATGTGCTGACTTGAGACAATTCATGTGGTCCTGTCTAAAGCATAGCAGGACATCTGTCCTCCCTGACATAGACCCACAGATTTCTCAAGTTCTCCTAGAGGGCTTCAGTTGAGTCACTGGCCAAGATGAAGGATCTCTCATTGTGTGTAGTGATCTCATCCTGGGTCCATGTTCACCAATCTTCTGATGACCAGTTGAACTTCTCAGACACCTTCCCACTAGGGAAGGAATGTCTTGAAGTGCTACTTTTGTGTTCTAGTCTCCAGAAGTATATTTTCCATCTGGGATATTGTATTGTTTATGCTTTTTATTTTCTGGAAATTATAATGTTTTGACAGTTTAAAAACTTTCTGACTGGAAAGAGACTGCTCCTCCTGGGACCAGCCAATTTTTAGAATTATTAAAAGGAGAATGTCTTTGGTCTGCAAATGAATCAATCCAGAGCCAACCCTCCTTTATACCTCAGAAAGCAGTAGTCTTTTGCCATAATCATCCCAGGGTCAAAGACCAGGCAATTAGGGACTATGCCTAAAATTTAGAGCCTGCAGAAATTATTCAAACCAGCCAACCCTTAGCTGTTTACCCGGCCCCGTCTTGCCTCTGCCATGGAAGCCCATGACATAGATTCTCCCTCACTCCTGACTGATGATGGTGCTTTCTAAGGTGGCCTTGTGTGGTGTTTTCTAAGACCTGGGAGTACCATAAACTTTATTTTCCTGAGCCTTACTCATGTCTCATCTTGTGGCTGTGCCTGACTGACCACCATACGAAAGACACAAAACAGAGATTAATAAATTCTCATTTTTGTTTGTTCCAGTTCTGTGTTGAGTTTGTCACTTGAAACCATCTCCGAGATCCTGATAAGTTGAAAGTAACAAAATTGGAGTTGTCTGCACAAAACTAACACCCAAGATTTTGTCCCCTTGGTAGGTCTTCCTTTCATAGTTAGCTGAACTACCTTTTAAAGGTGTCCTTGTAAAAATGCATGGTTACCTATTTTTTAAGAAAGTTATTCAGAATTTATCTGAATGAAGCCAGTATTGTGGGTTGTTTGATTTCAGTTATTCCCATGAGTGGAAAGGAAACATATACATTCAGGTGGTCTGGGGGAAGATGCCTCAGGAAACTTGAGTAGTCTCAAGAATGAGTGCAAGAAACAAAAAGTCAACTCTTATTAAAGAATACAATTACAGGCTAATATCCCTGAAGATTATAGATACAAAAATCCTCAACAAAATACTAACAGACTGATTTCAACAGCATATTAAAAGAATCATGCACCCTGAATCAAGTGGGGTTATCAGCAACCAGTAAGGCAACTTCCACAATCTGGAAGATCTTTGGTAAAAGTTTTTCAGTGATAAAGTTTGTTTGTTTGTTTGTTTGTTTTTAGTATATGGAAAGAGTTTTTAGAATTCTATTGCTCGGCCGGGCTCGGTGGCTCAGCCTGTAATCCCATGCCTTTGGGAGGCTGAGATGAGTGGATTGCCTGAGCCCGCGGATTCGAGACCCGCCTGGCAGCGAGACCTCATCTCTTAAATCAAAAAATCAGCCGGGCGTGGTAGCGCATGCCTATAATTCCGGCTACTCGGAAGGTTGAGGCAGAAGGATCGCAGGAGCCCAGCAGGTCGAGGCTGCGGTGGCCGGGAGTGGCCACTGCACTCCAGTCTGGGCAACAGAGTGAGGCTCCAACTCAAAACAAAAACAAAAACAAAAACAAAACAAACAGACAAAAAGAATTCTATTGCTTTCTTTGAGATTCCAGTTGGCGCTGCTTGGGTTGCGTGTTTGATGAAGATAGGGCCTATGTCCCACTGCCCACTAATGGCAAACTTTGTGCATAAGTACCCGAAAGGCAGAGCAAAGGCCTCTCAGGAATAAATTGTGTTCATATAAATCAGTGATAAATGTCCAAGAGATTTGTATTATTAGGACTGCCTGAGTTAAGAGTACATTTTTGCAGACTGCCTATAGTGATATGGGGGAAAAAAAAACCCAAACTAAGAATTTACAAGAGGGAACCAACCATAGCCATCTGGATCCAAGCATTGCACTAACCATTTTGATCTTTATTTAACAGGCACTCAGACACTCACGAGGTATGTATTATATTTCAGACACCTGAAGCCAAAAGGATTCTTTAAACTGCATCAAGGCCGGGCTTAGTGACTTGGCCTGTAATCCCAACACTTTGAGAGGCTGAGGTGAGTGGATTGCCTGAGCCCACAGGGTTGAGACCAGCCCGGGCAACTTGGCGAGACCTCGTCTCTACAATAAATAAATTTTAAAAACATTAGCCAGGCGTGGTAGTGCACGCCTGTAGTTCCAGCTACTTGGAAGGTTGAGGCAGAAGGATCACCTGAGCCCAGCAGGTCGATGCTGGGGTAGCCGCCAGCATGCCACTGCACTCCAGCCTGGGGGACAGAGTGAGATTCTGACTCAAAAAAAAAAAACTCAGTCAAAGAGAGTCCTCGAATACATGCTCAGTGTATGACTGGGAGGTGAGGAGGCGTGAGAGGGGGTGTCTGTATCCTTTCCATGACTCCACATTGATTCCCAAGTGATATGAAAAGCCTAAAGAGAAGGTGGAATTTCATGGAGACTATAAATAGGCAGGAAACAAGGCTCCATGAAATTCACTGGTATTTTTGGGAAAATGAGAGAGGTTTTTGTAAAACTTGACCTTATCAAGCTTGTTGATGGCTGACCTTTAAGAATGCTATCGCAAGCCGGGCTCGGTGGCTCAGCCTGTAATCCCGCGCCTTTGGGAGGCTGAGGTGAGTGGATTGCCTGAGCCCGCGGGTTCGAGACCCGCCTGGGCAGGCGAGACCTCATCTCTACGATAAATCAAAAAATTAGCCAGGCGTGGTAGCGCTCGCCTGTAGTTCCAGCTACTTGGAAGGCTGAGGTGGAAGGATCGCCGGAGCCCAGCAGGTCGAGGCTGCGGTGGCCGGGAGCGGCCACTGCACTCCAGTCTGG